GTAGATTCTTGAAAACTCGAAGATCCCATTCTTTGTTGGGGGATTTTGTTCCTATAGGAGAAGTATCACGCCACCCCGGATTATAAATGTTGGAGTACGGGTTGTTCCTTTGATTATTGTTCACAAAGTTAGCATTTTCTTGGGTGGATCCTCCTGTTAGGATCATTTGATAATCTCTATTGGTATGCCTATTAACTCTGCATAATACACAATAGAGAGTAGCGGGGAAATAAAAGCAATAGGGGTTGGAATAGAAGGTGTGTAAAGTGTGATGTTTACATTCTCTATCTTTTGGTAAAGAACATCCACCTTAGCATTCATATGATTAAACACATTAACCTCATAAAGACACCAGTCTTAGTGGTAGACTTAGCGGAAGAATTAGCTTGTTGTTGTGCCACAGTGACCAATGGTTTAAGTACCAAATTCTTATCCTATCGGTGTATATCTTGAGAAATAAAAAATAGAGATTTTGGTAAACAGCTTAACAGAAAAAGCAATTAATTGAAAACAATTTAACAAAAAAATCACTTAAATCTCATTTGGGGCAAGCAGGACTTGGGGTAACAGTTCATACTCTAACAGAATCACACGATCCGTGTTACTTCTATTATGATAATTCATCATAAATTACATAAAATGGATAGTTACAGGCACTACCTTCTTTTGCCAATGCATTTCCCTTATCGATGACGAATAATTCATCTGCTTTCGCACGGCCAGATTATTCTTCATTGAGTCTTTACTTTTGCCTATATATATGTTTTCTCAAATTCTTCCAAGATCTTTCTCTATTTTGGACTAGGTTGTTTACAAATCTGCGCTCCGATATTGACACGAATCCTTTCAAACTACAGTCGATACCTGAGAACCACATCCTTTCGTAACAAAGTTGGAAGGCGTGAAATCATATTAGAAAATAATTTTAATTAAAATTATCGCAATCGATAGTAACATATCATACAATAGGTCATAAAATAATCCTTTTAACCCTTTGTCCTTAGATAACTACTCGCTCGTGGTGAGAGAAAACATAATCACAACGTTATTCATCATCTGATTCATATTTAACAATCACAACAGATGAATAATTGGAATAGAATGGATAATAAAACTTGAATTATGATTAAGCTTAAATCCACAATTTATCCCTTGGAGACTTGAGTTACAGAGAAAAAGAGAACAAATAATACGTAGAAACTTGGAATTAAAATTTTGATAATACGTAGAACAAATAGTAAACGTGCATAAAATCCTTGGCTTAATGGAAATTATTTTGATTTGAGACCAATAAAGTATTGCCTAAGAGCCAAATTTAATAGAGGATCAATCTAATTATGGAAAAAAATGAAAACTTGGCAACTTTCTCTCGCCTCCCTACTACGGGTGGCTGTAGAAGGCCTCTGACTTTAGTACCAAGAAGCTTCAAAGGGGCGCCTAGTGTTCTTACTTCTACATATGGCCATAGTAATCCCTTGGATTTTATATGGGAAACTTTCATCTTTTTCCGTTTTGCTTATCTTTGATCACTCTTTGTCTTGGATGCTCATTAGACCTTGAAATTGGCAAGAAAGTATAAATCGACGCATAAAACATGATAATTCAAATTAAATTAAACTAAATATGGTAAAATACTAAGACAAAATGACTAGAAATGACGATGCAAAGACAACTTATCATGCATGTTTTCAAGCATTCCCTAAAGAATCACATCTCTCTATGGTAAAATGCATTATAAGATATCTCATTGGCACACCATAAATGGTTTTATGGCACCACAAAGGAATCAATTATGTTATATTTTATTACTCTGACTCTGATTTTGTTGGGTGTAAATTAGATTGGAAGACTACCAATGATACGTGTCACATACTTGGTAACTCGTTTGTCTCCTGGCATAACAAGAAATAAGCAAGTGTAGTGTTATACATGGTTGAGGTGGAATATGTTTTGTGGATAATTGTTGCATGCAACTTATATATATGAAACACCATCTAAGTGATTAGAGAGTTAATCTTGGTGTTATCCCCATAAAATGAAACAAAACTAGCGGCATAAACCTCACGAAAAATCTAATACTTCACTATCGGACTAAACATATTGAGGTTAGGAACAATTTCATTAAAGATCACGTTGAAAAATGATATTGCTCATTTGAGCATGTATCTTCATATAATTAACTCGCAGATATACCAAACCTTTTCCTAAAGAAAATTTATTTTTCATAAGAACTGAGTTAGGGATATTGAATCAATCATGTGCGAATTAATATCTAATATATGCCTCTTCTTATTCTTCTTCTTATACCATTCCTATAAGTGGTATACATGATTTATGTGCTTTCTATGTGTTTGTTTTACACCTTTCTAATAATTACAAAGGGTGAGAAATATACTTTTGTAGGGAGTTGGATATACTATTTATACTAGTCGGAGGGAGTTTAACGACTTCAATCTATCACCTTAGATTTATTTTTTTGGTCACATCATTGAGAGATGTAATATCATCATAAAAAAGGAGAGAATATGGATCTTTGTACTTGTAGGTATAGTAGACTGCAGCTGATGTTCTGATTATATGTTGATCATGGTGGTTTTGATGATGACTTCGATGTTCGATGGAATTATGTTTCTTGATCCTTTCTTGGTCATGTTGGTCCCTAGTGATATATTTCCAATTGTCTCTGATGATGATGCTCATTATAAAGTTATATTAATACTAATTAGGGAAAATATTCAAGGTTCCAGTGAAGTGCTAAAGTCAAAGATAATGTAGCAAGGAACATGAAGCTTCAAAATTGTGAAAGAGATGAAGTGTGAAAGCTCTCATAGTCATTCATACACTAGCGTAATGTCTGAGTGAGCAGAGTATTGTAAAAGTGTTATAGTAACTCAAACGTTACTAAGGAAAACCTCACACACTCACCAAACATTTTTTAGGACCCTCTTGTTTTATTAAAACCACTAAAAAAACATTTTAGGTAAGTAGCTAGCTGGTTACTAGTTCAAATAATCCTTAATGAGTGAAGTATACACTCAATAATTGATTATAAATAAGGGTTATTCAATTATCTCTTTTGTAACACCTCATAATAGATTATTTGTGCTTAAAATTGATTAGTGATGGAGCCATTTGAAAAAAAATCCATTTTTACCTACATATTCAATTATAGATATGCATAATCGATTATGAGCATTAAAAATCCCGTGGATCATTTTCCTTTTTGAGATATATTTACTCCTATATAAGGAGGGCGGGAGGGTGCCTCCTAGCTTTTATTCACACCAGATTTCATATTCTAAGCATCATTTTATCATTCTAACCTCTCCCTGTCTTTTTTGTTTACTTAAATTTCCCTTAGTGCCTTTGTAAGTGAAATACACTTGTGAGGTTTTAGTTGTATTGTTATTCCGTTATTTTATCAATAATGTGATTCTCTTGAACTTTTAACATTTGTATGTTATGTTTATCATGGTAAAACCTCTATTTGGTTTTCGAGATCATCTGATTAAAATTTCATTCTTAGTTTGTGAGCTTAGCTTGTGAAAAACTTCATTTTGGTTGACAGATCAGTCTAAAAATCTACCAGTTGCTCGTAAGAAGGTTCTTGGGCATAACATGTTTAAGCTTAAATATATTATTTTAGTGGAACTCTCAAGAATAATTTCTTGAGGAGAGGAGTATGCCAAGACATCAGATGAACCTTTATCGTTCCTGGTGCAATCTCTTTAAACTTTCTCTTTTTACTTTCACATTAACTTTTCTTTACATTTTGATCTTTCCATTTTCCAGTACTTTTAGCTATGCTATTGAACTATACTAACACAAATTATTAGTTTAAGAAATTATTTTTAAATTGGTAATGATTTTTTAATACCACAATTTACCTTCCCCTTGTGATTGCAGTCACTTGTTCAACAAATTTGTCAATTGATTTTCGTCTGCCTACCTTCCTAAGTTCTGATTTCTCAATTTGTCTACCTCAATCCACTATATAAAAGTAGTTTCCCCTTTCAGGTTATGTTTCAATATTTACGCAAATTTTATTTTCTCTCTCTTTCCACCTCCAATTATCCCTCTCTGATATCTGATGACATCTTGCTTTGTCTGCTTGTTTTCCTTTTTAGATTTCATAACTCATTTGGTTAATAATTTTTCATTGTAGATTTACCTTTACATCTCTAGTTTTTATAGGTTCCATTTATCTCCCTCTTGTTTATTGTTGTCTCTCCTTAATCTTTATTTTAGCAATCACTTGTTTATGAGATGAACTTGCAAACACTATAGACATACTCAATGGCAATGACGTAAAAAAAACCTCATCTTGCATATGGGTGGTAGACCTAGAAATACATGGTATTGCCTCTTTGTTTGATAATCACCCTTTTCCAATTTCATAAATATTAGTGATAGTTTTGAGTCCATGAGGGGTTCTATCGAGAGTAATAGTGCCCCCATGAATATCCAAATTGATTGAAATGCAGATAACCCGACGGAAGGAATTGAAGGGGTAAACCCTGAGTCTGTTGAGGCATATTAAAATGATTTGGGGCCCATTAACATTAAATCCTTTAGGTCTTTAAATGGCCAAGAACCTAGTGACAAGGAAGTTATAGAGCATCTTGATTTCCGAGGTCGCTCCAAAACTTAAGAATGGCCATTTTTATTTTAATTATAGGACTCTTACTGGGAATTTTTATTTGACTAAATGTTTATTTATTTTTATGTTATATTTTTTCTATTTCATTTGCTCACTAACTCTAAAATGACTAGAATGGCATCTAAGAAAGATGTTAAAAGTTTATAAAAGGATGTTAAAGATGGTGTAAAATGGAAGGGTGGATGGTAAAATGAGAGTTTTGTTAAAAATTTTGCATTGAAGAAATAAAAGCGAGTAATAATCAAACTACCCACTTCAGTAAAGAATGGTAGAAAAATATTACTAAAAAATTTCAAAAGAAAATTGGATATACTTGTGATCGAACTCAACTAATAAATAGATGGTATACATTGAAAAAGAGTTCTCGTCATTTGAGAAGTTGGTGGATAAGAAAACTGGAGTTGGATGGGATCATGAAAAGAAAACTATCTTGGCTGATGATGATTGGTGGGCAGAAAAAAATAAGGTATGGTTGTGTCATTATATACTATATTGTATTTTATTAATTGCATGAATTTGTCTATGATAATTGTTTTAAATGTCTATTTATTTTTCAATAGGATCTAGATATTTTGAAATGGAAACATGGAGGATCTACTTATATTGACTTGCTAGATAAATGTTTCAAGGTGCTAAATGTTACAACCCATATGAAGATCAATTACCATGTGAAGGATCAAAATCTCTTTTTGAAGAGGGCCGAGAGAATAACACAATTACTGAGGATGAAGGAGATTCAAATAGTTTTGATGTTGGAAATGAAGTACAACCCAACCTAACACCAAGTTCTTTCAAAAAGAGAAAGATTTAATGGAAAGGAGAGAAAATCGGGGCAATGGAGAATCTTCAATGATCTCTTGATCGTATAATCAATAGGTTTGGGAAAATCCAACAATGACTTCTATAAGACAACATTAGTTATGCAAAATTTTGAAAATGTTGGATGGAATCTCATCCTTGGTAAAAGGACCACAAATACTCTTTAAAGTTGTTATAATCCTTGTCAATAAAGAAAATAGGACAACAGTTTCTTACTTCATGAATACCACCACTACTGATATGGATTTTGATTGTATAGACACTTGTCCCAAAGATGATATCCATGTGATTGTTGATAGGATTGTATGCTTCTTGGAAAAAAAACCATCAGTAGTTGGAACTATCATGTTTTTATTAGCTTAATGTAATATGATATTTGTCACAATTACTTAGTGGTTTTGATACTAAATAAAAAGGTCATTATTGACTTGTTAGAATAAGTGATTTGCATTCTTAAATGTCATTCTTGTATTCTTACTTTCTTACTTTAAGGTGTCATGTTTCTTAACTATTTAAACCTTTATAATTGTACTTTTATGTGTAACAGGATGGGTGACAATCCAAATAAAAGTTTATATCAGAGTTCATATGATAGTTTATATGAGAGTGACACTATTTCTAAAATGGACATTTTGTAAATGTGCCTTAAAATCTTTGTTGATAAAGAGAAAGAAAACATATTTTGGAGATTGCATTTACTGTGAAAATGAAAGTTTTAGAAAGTCAGGCGAAAAGTCGAGAAAAAAAATTGATCGGTGAATAGTATCGTCCGTACGTTGAATAGTGATATTCGTACGAATGAATAGTGACGTCCGTACGATGTATAGTGTCGTTCGTCCGATGAATAGTATTTTCACATTTTCGGGCTTTTTTTGATTCGGTCCATGGATCAGTGTGATTTTGGGCTTTGTTTGGTGGGTATTTGCTATTATAAATATGTATCTCTTATATGTTTGGTGTGTGACAATCTTAGAGTTTTCATCAACAAGGGAGGCCAAGGGTTTAAAGGTATATCATAGGGTTTCAGCTATGCACAAAGAAAACCTTGGATTACACCTTGGGTTTGAGTGATTCATATATTGAGAGGTAGGGAAACACTTGGATAGAAAATTGGGTTGTTCTTAGGCGCCTTCAGGGTTGTTCTTGGGAACTTGAAGGCGAAGGCTATTTTCTTGTAACTCATCTGTAATCTCTTGTAACAACTTTCTGAGTATAGTGAATTGGAGAGTTACTCTCTCCCTCATAGTAGATCATTTGATCGAACTGGCTAAACAAACCTTTGGATTTTTCCTTGCCTTATTCTGTTATATTATCTGTGTACAGATTATTATTGTTGAAGGCCATTTATTTTGGTTGGTATTATTCTTTTCCTCACAAATTGATTTTGAATTTTTTCGTAATTCACAACAAGATTCACAACAAGTGGTGCAGTTAGCGTGGAGCAAAGAGATGTTGTTGACAAGTGAGTAGCATGGTTAGTAGATGGCAGATCGAGAAATTTTCCGGTAACGAATTCGGGTTGTGGAAAATTAAGATGCAAGCAATTTTAATTCAAGAGAAGTTTATTGATGCTTTGAAGAGTGAAGCATTGATGCCTACAGGGCTTACATAGGTACAGAAGACCGAGATGATGGATAAGGCCAGGAGTGTCATTATCTTGTGCCTCGGGGATAAAGTTCTAAGAGAAGTCGTCAGGGAGCAAGTTGCGGTTGCTATGTGGGAAAAACGTGAATAATTGTATATGAAAAAGTCTTTGGGTCATAGGTTGTATCTGAAACAACAACTATATTCATTCTGAATGATGGAGAACAAATCCATAGTTGAGCAGCTCACATTATTTCACAAGATTATCGATGATCTTGAGAATATTGAAGTGAAGATTGATGATGAGGACAAGGCTTTGCTCTTGTTGAGTTCATTACCCAAATTCTTTAAGCACTTTAAGGATGCCCTTCTTTATGGTAAGGAAGGTACTATTATTTTGGATGAAGTTTAAACGGCGGTGAAATCTAAAGAATTTTTAAAGTCGAAAGATTTGAAGATTGAAGATAGTGGTGAAGGCTTAAATGTGTCAAGAGGAGGAGGTGAGTGTAAAGGGATGTTCAAATGAAAGAGGTCTAACAAGTCAAAGGTAAAATGTTTTAATTGTCAAAATATCGGTCACTTTAAAAGGGATTGTCCTGAAAGAATGGACAATGAAGATTATGTTCAAGTTGTAGTTGCATTGGGTGAGGAAATTTATGAGGATGCCGAAGCATTAGTAGTATCGAGTTTGGAAACTAAAGATAGTTGGGTCATGGGCTCAGGTTGCTCTTATCACATGTGTCCAAGAATAGAATACTTTGAAACTTTGAAGATGGTGCAAGGTAGAGTAGTTCTCCTTGGTAATAATAAGGCATGCAAGGTTCATGGTATTGGTACGGTTAGATTTAAAATGTTTAATGATCGTGAACTTCTTATTCACAATGTGAGGTATATTCCAGAACTCAAGCGAAATTTGTCACCTATAAGTATGTTTGATGATCTAGGCTATTGTTTTAGAGTTGAACGTGGAGTGTTAAACATTTCGCGTGATGTATTGATTATTGCTAAAAGGTCTAAAACATGTGGTCTATATATTTTAGAAGGTTTAAATTTTATTATTCATTCATTGTTAACTAGTGGAGGATTTCATGAAAAGGAAGAGCCATGAGATTTGAATTTAAGGCATTATGAATTCCTTGAGAAAGTTTCAGAGGAGTACAATGAATTTTGCAGAAATCAAGGGATAAAAAAGCATGTTACCGCTGAGTTGTTATTGAGTTTTTGAGGAAGAGGTGAGGTTAAAACAACTTACTTGGTTGGTAGAGAATTTCTTTAGAAGAAGAATAGTGAAAACCAAGGGAGAAACTATAACGGAGAAAACTCAGTTTGAGGTGGAGTTTCCTACTCTGGATGCTAGCAGTAGTAAGGGAACGATTACAGAGATCTCGGATTATCATTTGACTCATGATAAAGTAAGGAGGGCTATTGTAGCATCTCAAAGGGACGGTTATGCTAGCCTTGGATATTATGTTTTTAATGTGGCTTAAGAAATGCAAAATAAAAGAAGAAAAACCTTCAGGGAGGCATTTGAAAACAGGTGGAGTCAAGGGTGGTTGAAAAATCATACTTGTAGGCTTGTTAAATTACCTAGGAAGAAAAGGGTAATTGGGAACAAGTGGATTCAAGTTGCAAGATCAAGATTCAAGGGTTGCTTAAATTTGATCAAAGTTATTGGTTAAAGTTTCAACTTGGTAGAGAGAATCAATGTTGTTGATTGTTAATTGGTATCAACACGATTTAAAGTCAAGGTGGAGATTATTGTAAATGTGTCTTAAAACCTTTGTTGATGAAGAGAAAGAAAACATATTTTGGAGATTTTGTTTTCCGTGAAAATCTGAAGTTTTAAAAAGTCAGACAAAAAGTCGAGAAAAAGAAATCGATCGATGAATAGTATCGTCCGTACGGTAAGTAGTGCTATTCGTATGAATGAATAGTGACATCTGTACAGTAAATAGTGTCGTTCGTCTGGTGAATAGTATTTTCGCATTTTCATTTTTTTTTGATTCGGTCCATGGATCCATGTGATTTTGGGCTTTGTTTGTTGGATATTTGCTATTATAACTATGTATCTCTTATATGCTTGGTGTGTGAAAATCTTAGAGTTTTCACCAACAAGGGAGACAAAGGGTTTAAAGGTATCTCATAGGGTTTCAGCTATGCACAAAGAAAACCTTGGATTACACCTTGGGTTTGAGTGATTCATATATTGAGAGTTGGAGAGGTAGGGAAACACTTGGATAGAAAATAGGGTTATTCTTGGGTTCCTTCAGGGTTGTTCTTAGGAACCTGAAGGTGAAGGGAATTTTCTTGTAACTCGTCTGTAATCTCTTGTAACAACTTTCTAAGTATAGTGAATTGGAGAGATGCTCTCTCCTCCAAAGTAGATCGTTTGGTCGAACTAGGTAAACAAACCTTCTAGTTTTTCTTCCCTTATTCTATTATATTATTTGTGTATTGATTTTTATTACTGAAGACCATATATTTTAGTTCTATTGTTCTTTGCTTCACAAATTGATATTGAATTTTGTCGTAATTCACAACAACATTGATGTCCAACAGATTAATATAAACCAATATCATATTGCAACAGTGGTGGCTGCATTTATGGTTACAAAACATGTTTTAAAATACATTGTCAAAGAAAAGAAAACTACGTCAATTATCTCCGATCATAGAGGGTATACATAAACGATAACAGGTTTTTTGAGCAATTTCGAATGAGGAAACAAGTCCTTAGGCATTTGGTATCCGAGTTAACTAATAATTGTGGATTGCCATCTTATAAACATTTTGGAGTTGAGGAAAGTGTTGAGATACTCTTATATACGATAAGGAAGCCTTCCTTAGATAGAAATGCTAAAGAGCGGTTTCAACATTCTGGTGATAACATTCATGAATATTTCAACCAAGTTTTAGAAGTTGTATGCAAGTTGGGAAAAATCATTAAACCTGTTGAATTTGTTGACTCTTCTCAATATATTATAGATGATAACTGATATTTTTCTTAATTCAAAGACTATATAGTAGAAATAGATGACACACATATTAAAATACATGTCCCAACAAAGAAAAAGAAACTATTTTTTAATAGGAAAGGACATACAAGTACTAATGTGATGGACATGTATGACTTCAATATGTGTTTTACTTTTGCTTTGTCTGGATTGGAAGGATTTGTTCATCACGCAAAGATTCTTATGGATATTCTTCGTAAACCTGATTTGTGATTTCCATATCCTTCAAAAGGTCAATTTTTTATACTTCAAATAGTTTTATTTGTATAATAAATATTTTTATATTCTTGTCTTATATATTTTATTTATATGCATAGGTAAATACTATCTTGTAGATTCAGATATCCATCCATAAAAGTTTG